AAAGGTCACGTTTTCGTGGTGGTGCGTTTTCGTGGCTCTGTGTGTGTGTGTGTGTGTGTGTGTGTGTGTGTGTGTGTGTGTGTGTGTGTGTGTGTGTGTGTGTGTGTGTGTGTGTGTGTGTGTCTGTGTGTGTGTGTGTGTGTGTGTGTGTGTGTGTGTGTGAGTGTGTGTGTCTGTCTGTGTGTGTGTGTGTGTGTGTGTGTGTGTGTGTGTGTGTGTGTGTGTGTGTGTGAACAGCATAACTCAAGAAGGCTTAAAATTGACAATTTTGATATTTACTGGGTCAGTAGTTTTTAAGAAGAGCTCCAAATGATTAGATTTTGCGCCCCCCCCCCCGGTGGTTTGTTATGGTACTGCAGCGGAACTGCTGATCGTATATGTCGTGATCTAAACATGTTGGGTGCACGGGAAGTGACGTAAGTTTAGTCCCCGAAGCAGCTTGTTTGGGAACTAATGGGACGTTTTTTTAAGCTTTGAATAACGATAACTCGAGGACCGAGCAACAGATTTTCATTTAATTTGGTATGTAGGTAGCTTAAAGGGATTCTAACAAAATTTAACTACATTTAACTCAATCAGGATCTAATTTACATAATTAATGACGAAATTCTATAAATTTGCTGCGTTCCATTATAGGATAATTTCAACTTTTGACGTGTGTGATTAAAAGGAATAGATATTAATTGTGCAAACTGCTAGAAATAACTTGCTTTGTTTAAAATAAGACTGTCATTGGATGGAGAATATCAACGACCGATTTAATTAACGCAAATGATGATTTTATTTGCATGAATCAATAAGACCATGAAACAGTTTTTAACTATTATTCATAAACAAAAGTCTACTGTAGGATGACGGCTCAAGGTGAGGTCATATTATCAAAACGTAGCTCTGAGCTGAAAAATACAGCTTCGTATAAGATAGTGTCAACACTGTGTGCAAAATGATATTGTGCACGGAAACTATTTGATTCTTATAAAAAATAAGAATGAAGGTTGGAATTAAGTTTAGTATTGTACTAGAAAAAAAGATCTGTTGTAGTAATATGCGTGCGTTTAAACCAACTGTACAGGTGGTCATTTGGCGTTGTGCTGTTCGAAGTCACGACGCTTGGAGACGTTCCGTATCCAGGTCGGGAACGCACTCTTCTTGAAGACCTTCGCACAGGATACCGTGAACCATGCCCACCTGGCCTCCCACAAGACATGTGCGTATAAAAAAACTTGTTGTCCTCCACAGGTAATTTTTCTAACTTTCCGAATGAATTGCACACTTTTTGTTCTTGAAGACTTAGATATATTATTAACTAAATTTATTTTTTTTAACCTGACACACAATCAATAGATAACGATACATGTATGTCTGTGGAATGTTAAAAACAAGTTATATAAACTACATGAAACAACAGCATTCGAGACTTTATTTAGTTTGAATAATAAATCATTGATGACAACCTTTTTATTTTGTGTCTGCAAAATAACCCGACAGGTACTCGATGATGCTGCGGTGTTGGGAGTGGGATGAAGACGACCGTCCGGACTTTGAGGAACTGTACCAGGAGCTTGACGCCGTTTTAGAGTCCATGACGAACGGCTACATGAAACCACGTTGCAGCTGGACAGACAGTTGGACTGAGGCTTCAGAAAATTCTGGATGTTCCAGCTCTACAGAGGCTGCAGAACCACCTGGAAGTTCCAGCTCTGCAGAAGCCACGGAAACACCTGGTGATTCCAGCTCTGCGGAGGTGCTGGAAACACCTGGGAGATCCAGCTCTATTGTGGCCGTGGAAACACCTGGAATTTCAAGCTCTGGGAAAAACCCTCAAAGTTCAGAGGTTACGGAAACACCTGGAAGTTCCAGCTCTTCAGAGGCTGCGAAAAATACGGGAAGTTCCATCTCTACTGAGGCTGTAGAAAAGCCTGGAAGTGCATATGACATTCCTAGAGCAGCCAGAATGCGATTACAGGTCGCTACTGGTATCTGTAACGGCAATGGGTATCACGAAGAATTGGAAATGGACTCCATTCGCGTTCGCAAACATATGAGTTTATGATTAGTTATTTAACCGTACTTTTGCTTCCACGCATGAAGGTATATGTATTGACAGTTGAAACTTACTCCCCGTGCCCCTGCACAAATTCCTCAAGACATTCGGTTCTACCGATCTAAGTAACGTTTAGTTTTCAACATTTTTTTTTCTTAATAGGAAATCATAAATTATGTCGGGCAATTACCTGAAACTAAAATGCATAGGACAGATATACTCAATCCGGGCTATCGTACAAAATGCATTGTTTGGCAATTCTGAGAGAGAGAGGAGTGGCCCGAGATTGATCTGAAGGATTTCTAACCGACACACCAAGTGACCGAGCAGGAGTTGAATTTTAAATTCACGAGTACATTGCCCTCGGGTTTTTTTACCTTAGACATTACTTAAGTTTGGTACCTATTGTACATGCTAAACTAGAACTTTTCTAGAGATTTTTCTCCCTCCCAAACAATGACTTGAGCATTACCCCGAGGTTACATCGCACTTTGATTTCACGAATGCAAGACGTTGTTACATAATTTGTTAAGGACGTAACCCACCACTTCTGTTAAAGATGGGAGGGGGCTCGAATTACTCAACCTACAACAAAAATATCGTCAGAACTATGCAGTTCGCCAACAATCAATTGAATTTTATTTATGATCTAATTTGCATATCTGCAAACTCAAAGACACAACAACGGACCCTGAAAATTATATTTCAGACAAAGGTAAATTATGCAACAGCAAGTAAAGTTTATTCCCGAATTTATGATAACACAGAATTTCCAGTCAAATAAGCTTCTGAAAAGCGCTTTTTAGTTCAAGGGACTTAATTTTGAAGTAGGAGAGGAAAACGTTTAAAACAGTGCAGTTGTACAATAGTCAGACAAACAATAATTAAAAAGTAGAATTTTAGAAGAGACATAAAGCCATAAAATATTTCACAAATTACAGTACATTAATACACCCATATACTAGTATACATACATTTATAGATATACGTTTCTAGTGTTAACGTGCTTTTATGAAGGCAAATATTTCATTTATAAATACAACATTCCTAAATTCTGCATTCAGTTGTGCTTTATGTTGTGTACATTTACGTGGAATGTTAATTACACGTATGAACCCAACCCCTGCCCAAACTATGTACATCTGCCGGGCAAACTTCCACCCAACTAAGCATAAGAACAGAAAATCCTTTTTAAAACATTAAAAAAACAAAGACAGCTGTAAAAACATATCAACAAGACATGTTAATTAAACAATTACCATGCTATGTTTATAAATCTAAAAAGAAAGCTATTGCATATTTATTGGATACAAAATCAGATTGTTGATAATTGCCTTTTTCTAAAACAACTGTAGGATAGTTTCCATTTTTTCTATTCAAATTTCTACTGGTTCTATTTGTATTGTACACCATACGTGTGAGCCAGTAATTTTCATTGTGTATGCATATGGGGTATTGTTCACCAATTGTAATTTTACTTTGGGTATCAAAATGTACCATTTGACAGAAAAGGGTGGTTGTTGGTTCAGTAAGACAGTTGTTTAGCATAGGGTATTCGAAATTTAAAAGAGATTGCTTTAAAGTAAATTATGTTTGTTTAAGGTTGCTAGCCGACCATGCTTTACTGTACGACATAACTTTGCAAAAGTACTAAATTAGCATTGGGTACTTCTGATTAATAGGAGCCGCAAAGTACCATGCCCATATGCATGTCTTATGTGCAATAGTCTATCTGTAGTTAGATAAGGCCTATGCTCAGACAAAACAATGTCACGTGGGTAACGTCTAGGTAACAAGAACACATAGTTTTGTGAAAGTGCTTTATCAGCATAATGGACACTTGTAATGAATAGGAACTGCACAGCACCAGGTATTATTCTGTAAGTGGAAGTGTAAAAACATGACAAAAATTGTTTAAAAACGACACGATCATAACATCTGACGTTTTGCGAGTCATGGTCAGTTGTGGGCTGTTTGTGGCCACAGTTGTGGGTGAAGGGGACGTACTTGTGACGTGAAAACGATTGTTGCCAGTGTTTGTACCACCAGGGTGGCAACATTGGAGCCAATAGGATTTTCTGCAGCACAGACATACAGACCAGCATCTGATGCAGCTGTAACATCTCTTGCAAACACTGTACCATTTACATCCACAGTCACCCTTCCATGTGACTCAATATCAGCGTTTAGTCCAGATGGGAGAGTGACTGTGATGTCTGGTGTGGGGATCCCTGAAGCTTTACAGATCAACTGCAGTGTATGTCCATTATACAACGTCATATTATCACCTCTGTGCTGTCAAGCCTTGATCACGATTGGTGTATCTTCACAGTATGACATCAGATCTTCAGGACTGATGTCTATAAGCTTCTGACCATGGATGATATCAGGTTGGGAACAAGTGATCTGGTTTTCAAACGGGTACGACCCAGTCATTTTAAACCTCATGTCAACCATCCTACAGCACTGCCAGGGGTTGTTGTCAATGTTTATGTCATAGATGGACTTGAGTATATCATAGGATGAGATGGGAAGACTTGTCAATTGGTTACTTTGAAGGGAAAGGGAAAGGTAAGGACTTGTTTGAATTGACAATTGCAAGTCTTCAAAGGGAAACATTTTGATGTTGTTGTTATCCAGATTGATATTTAGAAGCAGTAGATTTCTGAATAAGTTGGGCGGAATGGATTGAATACGGTTGTACGACAGAAACAAGAATTTAAGGCCTGGTGTAGGGTTGAAAGTTCCAGCCTGAATATCAGTGATGTTATTATAGGATAGACCCATGTCCCCCAAGTTTGCAAGTCCTGTGAACATGTCTGCCCTCAGGGTTGTTAACTTGTTATAATCTAGGAATAACATTCTTAACTGTGGTGTTGGTTTGAAGGTTCCACCCTGAATATCAGCAATGCTATTATTGGACAGCATAAGTTTCTGCAAGTTTCCCAACCCTGTAAACATGTCCGCTCTAAGGCTTTCTAGGCGGTTTTGGAAGAGACTTAATCCGGTCAGGTTTGACAAGTGGTAAAATGCCTTGCTATTGATAATAGAAATGTGATTGTCATGCAGATATAGAATTTCTAAGCTCCTATAACGTGAGAAATCAGACTGACTGATAGTTGCTATTTGATTACTCCACAAATACAAGTGCGTGATGTCTGTCGGCAGGTGCTGAGGGACACTGGTGAGGTTCTGACTGCTGCAGTCACAGATTTTGATGTCTGTCGGCAGGCCCAGCACGTGAGGAACACAGGTGAGGTTCAGACTGCTGAAGTCACAGACTGACGATGAGCAGCTGCAGGCAGCTTCTGCTGTTCCCAGCATCTTAAGGACGACTAGGAGGAACATCAGCACACCTGGTGGCGCCTTACCCATCATGGTGCACTCCCTGTCCTGGTACAAGATGTAAGGAATGATATACTTGGGCTCGTATTATACTGGTGAAGGTATACATTACTGTTTTCTGTCACTTACATGATCGACATCCTCTGACAACCCCATAATTATAGTTTTCAATGCTTTTCTTGCAATTTATATTACGGCATATACTTTCTCATATTGCAGCTGTTTTGTAAGATATGGTTAAATTCTTTAAACGGGCGAAAGTTAATGCATTCGAGGAAGTCATCCATTATCATCAAGTGTACATGGCCTTACTATGTATTTATAATGGTTGTGATAGCCTGTAGAGGTACTTGCACTGATGCAATTATGTGCACCGGTCCAATTTTACTTGCAGAAAGGCGTGCATGCAAGTGTTAATTCGAGCCCTGCATGTATCAATACAACTATACTCTGCATTCCCGCACATGTTGCTAAAAACAATACTAAACCCCTCATGTGTCACTATCAGTTTGTACTTTGTAGGATCAAACTCACCTTGATGCTGATGTTGTGGAGATACAGAGAGTCAGCTGCTATCCTGGAATTGAGATGGCAAACTCTTGTTGAGTAAAAGAAATAAGAACATTTGTTTCACTTGTTCATTGATTAATTATTGTATTTAACGTCTATATGATGTGCTTTGCTTGCTTGTATTACGTATTGTCTGGTGGCGACATGAATATAAGTGTAACTCGAATGTGTCGCCGCCATGTCTTGTCACTGTATGTTTCAATAAGAAATTAGAACATAAACTATTGCTGCTTATCACTTCTTAAATTGATTATTGGTTATCGTTTCTGTAATCAGCATATCTTACCAAAAAGACTAACGATTATCAGATTTGTCGTTGGCGTTTACCTTCTAGTGCTGACTATGTCCTTCACATTTTACATGACCCATTTTGTAAAAAGGAAAAGTAAGTTGACAAAACCTACCTGTGCGGCGGTGTAGGGAAGATTGTCAGTTGTTAGGTAAAACCCAGGCTGATTGATCATCCACTCAAAACCTGGAAACAACAAATTTAAGACTTAAACAGAATTCTCTTAAAGGGTTACTGTTAGTTTCATGATTCTAAACTTTTGGGATCGGTGCATAGCTGCAGGACAGTAATTATAAGTTACATAACTACCTCTGATGCCAACTCAAAAACTTCAAAAGCACCTTCCAAGTTCCCTTTGGAGACAGATAGATTTTTAGACACAGGAAGCCGTGCTGGGTGTCTTCTCACCTGAATATAAGGACCTGGTGAGTTTGACAAATGTCTACTCTGGATAGTCTCTCCTCTATTTTATAGCTGCGTCACAACCAGGTGTACGTGGCGCAAATAGTCTGACTTGTACCTTGATCCTTGTAGAAAATGGTTGATTGGTAAACTTTGACCTGAATGGTTAAATATTAATCAGGACATGTAAATGCCTCCTATGTATTGTTTTCGGTCTTTCTGTGTGTGTTTCTGTGTGTATGTTTCCCCAAACTTGTGATCAGCATAACTTAATAAGGCTTTTATGGATTCAGTGCTGATATTTGGTGGTATGTTGGTGGTAGGATATAGAAAAGCGAAGGTCAAGGTCAATTTTCGCCCCTGGTGGCCGAACTTGGTGAGATTAATATCACTATATATACGCATATATCATCTTATGTTTGTGGTCATTTACATGATTACTGATGAAATGTTGAAACGAAACCTTGCCAAAGGATAGGAATTTCACATAGGAAATGAATATGATTAGAGAAAACCATACATAGAATATATCATGCTAAATGTAATCATCGCGATTCAATGATCAATGAAAAAATTAAAATAAAAAAGAGAGAAAAATTACAAAGGCTATATTGTTATGTCGGCATGAGGTCTCCGAATTCTTGTTGAGACTGAAATGTGAGAAAGTAACGTTATATATACAGTACTCGCCACGGCTCGCCATATACAGTACTCGCCACGGCTCTTGCCCGAGCGTAGGGTGGTGCCCATCTCCATTTCGTAGCCCTTGGGCGACAGCATGGGGCTAGTCCACTGGTAGTGCTGTGTGTTTGACCTTCCCACACTCTTTCTCATATGTGCTGTGAGTGCAGGCGGGGCGTGCTCGGGCGGTATGTATAGCGTACAAGTGTTACCACGCCTCAGTAGCGAAAGACATCTAATTTTGGGTGTGTTATAGATGTCTTAGGTACTGGTTGTACCGGGAGCAGGACCGGGAGGAGGACCGTGAGCAGCGCAGAGAAAGAAGTGTGTACCATTTTTAAACTCTTTGGTATGACCCGGCCGGGATTTGAACTCACGACCTCCCGGTTACAAAGTGAGCACTCTACCAATTGAGCTATTGCACCGGTTATGCTGGCCGGCCGGCAAATAAAATAACGCGTTAACCCACCCGCCTGGAGCCTGCACAAATCAAATCAACTTTATTGCTCAACAACTGTAGCTGGTACAATGTATGGCAAAGAAACAACAATGGTACATACATAAACTAATACTAAAATATTATTCTAACGAGCTAGCCCATAATGATACTAAAGCTAATCTATTGTGTTTTCTTAGGAAGAGTATTATTACATTCTGTAATTCAGGGGATATATCAGATATTTACAATATGGTGTCGCTTTTAAATTTGTAGTGATTCAAATGAATTTTCTAACGTATACTGATATCTGAGTAGGACATGAGTATCATAAGATATTTTGAGTGAGATAGCGTAATATTAGTTTTGGAAGCTATGGATTGCATAAACTTTTGTCTGTTTTCTTCATATGTTGGACATGACTAGCCTCCTTCGCAGTCTTGTTTTGCGTTATTTTTTCTCTGAGCGAATAATATTCGGCCGCGAGGGACGGTTTGCTGCCGAGGGAGTTTTTGCCACGGAGAGAAGGTTTCGCGCTCCAACAAGGAAATAACGCCGACGCCCAACAAGACTGCGAAGGAGGCTAGGACATGACATCATAAAGTGGAATTCGTCTTCAATACCCTCCTTGCTTGTCGGGCACAATCTCTGATCGGCTGGACACAGGAGTCTAGTAAATTTTAACCATAGGTTTCTATGACCAAAAGCTATAGTACTGTCTGCCCTGAAGATTGCATATAGAACGCAGCTGTTTGGATAAAACCGCTCGCCGCGGCTAACGCTCAGTAGCTGGCCGTTCAACTTTTACTTAGTTGACACCACACCTACGTCTGGATATACTACACTCCACAGCATAGAATGATCCACAGGTTTTTCGGTGAATTCAACAACTATTTGTATCCATAACAGTCACCGAGGAATTTGGAGCGAAACTTGGCGTGCCAACCACGCAATTACTGTTCATTTATGGTCAGATTTAAACTATACTTCTGAACTTGCAGTTCTCACAGAGTCCGCTAGGGGCGATGTCTTCCCCGCGCGGGGCATGCTGGAGAACCTGTGACGTCACGTAACAACCTCCCTAACAACAACAGGGGCAGCTGTAACAGAAGTAGTCAGTCATTAGTAACGGGAGACACCTTGGCTTTACAACTAAACTTGTCGTACCACAGATTTTCTTACACCTGGTGTTGTTTGTTACTGAGTTTACAAAGCTGAGCCGTCGTCGTTGACATGAAACTGTGGTGGCCTTCTGAACCTAGAGCGCGGACCTAGTTGGATCACCTCGCCAGTACTGCCCCCCTCCCCTCACGAAAAAGTTTGGAACGTTTTGCAAACTCCTCTGTGCGAGATAAACAGCAAACATGCCGCCGAAGAAGAAAGGGAAGGGAAAGAAGGGGAAGAAGAGTGCGAAGGGAAGCGCCAAGGGCTCCAAGTCGGGGTCCAAGCCGGCTTCAGCGGGACAGCAGCTGAACGAACTCAGTAAAGAGTTTTTCCTGATTCAGATCCGAGATTTGGAGAACAGACTGGGCCGGTAAGCAAAATATCGTTTTCTCCTATAGTTTTCTCTAGACACTGGAATGTATGGTCAGTCACAAGCTTGTGGTGCAATAGACACAATAAGGATTTACAGGGAAATTGAAGCTTATGAATTCACCAACTTAAATATCTGTTGACTTTGTTATAGTTTTTTTTTTTAAGTTTAGAAATTAGAGTCATTGTTACAGTTGAATGTAGTCAAAAAATTACATAGCAGCAATGTTTCCACCTCTGCAGTAGTATTACTGTACTTCCAAAATTACCCAGCCGACGACATTTCATTTTGCACAAAAGACAAGGTATCAGTGGAAGGGGTAGCTAAGCTACTCACAAATTTAAATCCAAACAAGGCAACGGGCCCAGACGGGCTATCACCTAGGCTATTAAAAACTGTAGCTACTCAGGTCTCACCTATATTAACAATCATTTTCACACAATCCCTAACCACTGGTGATGTGCCTCTAGATTGGAGGTCTGCAAACATCACACCTATCTATAAAAAAGGTGACAAGGCTGCGCCAGCAAACTACCGGCCAGTCTCACTGACGTCTGTTTCTAGTAAAATTTTAGAACATATTGTGCACTGCCATATAATGTCCCATCTTGACAAATACAATATTTTATGTCCGGTACAGCATGGTTTCCGAAAAGGACTTTCGTGTGAGACCCAACTACTAGTAACTACCCATGATCTAGCACATGGTCTTGACCAAAACCTTCAAATTGATGCCGTGGTGCTGGACTTCAGCAAGGCGTTTGATACGGTACCGCATCAACGCCTGCTGAGTAAGCTCCAGTACTACGGCATCAAAGGGCACATCTTGTCCTGGCTCAAAGCCTTCCTAACGGAGCGGACACAGACCGTGGTTCTTGACGGCGAATCCTCCAAACCCTCAAGGGTTACGTCCGGTGTGCCTCAGGGCACGGTCTTGGGCCCGCTTCTTTTTCTCCTTTACATAAATGATTTGCCCGACATAGTTAATAGTAACGTACGTTTGTTTGCCGACGACTGTTTGTTATACCGGGTTATAAAGAGCCCGACAGACGCCCAGGGCCTACAGGCCGACCTGGACGCGCTGACCGAGTGGCAGGATCGTTGGCAAATGAATTTTAACCCAGCTAAATGTCACACTATTCACATTACACGCAAACGTAGACCACTTGTTACGCAGTATAGTCTTTGCTCGGTAAATCTTACGACTGTAAAATCGTACCCTTACTTGGGAGTTCACATCTCCAACGACATGCGTTGGGATGCTCACATTGCTCACGCTACTGGTAGGGCAAACAGGACCTTGGGAGTTATCCGGCGTAACTTATGCCATTGCACATCGCAAGTACAAAAACACTTGCTATAAAGCCCTGGTGCGCCCTCAACTCGAGTACTGCGCCTCAGTGTGGGACCCCTACACAGCTGGTGGGGTGCAGGCAGTTGAGCGCGTACAACGCAGGGCAGCCCGGATGGTCATGAATGACTATGCCCGCACCAGTAGTGTGACCGAAATGTTGCAAAAACTCCAATGGCCCACTCTTGCAAACAGAAGAAGAGAGGCACGTCTGACTACAATGTTCAAAATAACTCACGGTCACATGCGCATACCCTCTGAACAATATCTTATTCCTGCACAGCGGCGCACCAGAGGTAGCCACGCCTTTAAATACAATATTATCCCTGCAACGAAAGACTGTTTCAAATTCTCATTTTTCCCACGCTCGATACGAGAGTGGAACAGCTTACCTGCCCAGGCCATACAGGCACAATCTGTGGAGGCCTTTCGGGCCTCTCTACCGTAAGGTCCACGCACCTCCCCCCCCCCCTCAGCGATACCCCTTACGGGGTTGTTAGAGGAACCAAAAAGAAGAAGAAGAAGACAAGTTTGTCCTCACCTCAAAATCTGGCCATGCTACATTTTGTAACCTTGCTGATTTCACAATGATTTCTCGCATTATTATCCAAAGTTATGGTTGAAAGTCCTGTTATCATGGGCATGGATTAAATCGACCATGTTCAGTCAGAACTCAAACCATTTGCTGGTGTGCTAGAAGATGGTGGCCTTTGGTCTTTGGGGAAAATTTTCTGGATGGAGAAAGATCACTGTTGGAGTTAGTAGTGTATTTGCGAGACGCTGTGAATGAGGATCTACGTAATTGTACAATGTATATTCTAACTTCACTAAGGTCGTCTCAACACAGTCACATTACATAACAAAACCAAAAGGATGTATCAAATAAACAAGGTCACAGTGTCTGTCAGACCAGGGATAGTCCACAGAAACCCTAAATGATTGGTGCCGTTAGAATCATCATCAGATCACAATCTGTAGTTGAAGAAGTGCCGATTATCCTAAGACCAGTCTCAGTTAGGCCACACCGACTTAATTTTATGGATGACATCCTCTGAAGACCTCCAAACTAGTGAGCGCGGGCAAAAAAAGGAAAAATCCGGCCAAAAATAAAAATGCTACTAAACCATAGGAATACAATTAGCCTGTATTGTGAATTTGGCGCATTACATAGCGACGTATATGGCAAGGCGGCACATGCCGGCATTTTGCTGAATTTATGAATCGGTACTGTACGTATGTACTGAATTCATGAGTCGTGGAGCTTCGGTAGCCTGGGTGCCATCCTCCAGAGTTACTAGTACCACCGGCTTCTTATTGTCGCTAACCACCATGGACTATACCCAGGCCTAAAGCCAGGCCAGAGCCTCGGAAGACGTGATCTTTTTTTTGTTGTTGAGATCAGGCGAAAATCAATGCGCACGCTGATGTCATCCAGAAAATTAAAGCGGTGTGGCCTTACTGTTAAACTTAAGCAATCCTAAGCTAACCTTCTACAAATAGTCTTCAATGCTAATCTCTACTCTAGATCTCAAACCCTGAGAAACCAGACCTACGATACTGACATTCCCAGAACTTCAAGCCCTTTAGTCAGAAAATCCAATTGTAATCCATTTCTGAAATAAAGAAATGAAAGATAAAATAATTTCCTTGCTGCAATAATAATACAAATATCTCAATAGAAATATCTCATTAACATTTTGCGCAAGTGAAAACTTGGTTGTGGCAAGTGGGGCAATTTGATTTTTGAAAACTTTGTCTAACCCTGAACTTTCCTCTATGTTGTAACATGTCTGTAGGTACCAGACCAAGTGTGATGAGCTGGACATCTCCAATGATGAGTTCAAGTCACAGTACGAGCAGATGTCTGAGGACAAGAAGGAGATTGTTTCATTTCTCAAGAAGACACTGGAACAACGCAACGATGAGATTGCAGACCTCAATGACAGGTATCAATCCAATATTTCCACCATTCCAGAACAACACTGTTGTATGGACTATTTTTAAATTTGTTGTTTCTGTGAATAGTTTCATCAGGTTGGTAAGAATAAAGAAAAAGGGAATAAAGACACTCTTTTTACAGTCAACCAACATTTCTGTGACCGTCTGTCATCTTCCTGAGGGCAAGTCTGACTGGTTCACATTGCGTAGCACAGGTGAGCTACAAAGATGTGTTCCCAAACACAAAGTATTTACATATTTACACAGTCACAGGGAACAGTAATACTATCTACAATGTGCAATGTGAACCAGTCAGATTTTCCCTGAGGAAGGTGACAGACGATCACCAAAACGTCGGCTGAATAAACCTCTTGGTTGTGTAAAAAGATTCCCTTTATTCAATTCATTGTTGTACTTTTTGTTGTTTTTCTTTGATTAGTTCTAGTGAAGGTAATGATTTGTTTGTTTTGCATTACCCGTAAACTGCCTTTTTAGGCATAACGCATCAGTTTTACTTTAGTACATATAAGTGTAAGCTGGGTAAGACCAGATTGTAAGGTTTGAACCACTCACACTGGGAAGGTACCCCTACTTGTTTCAATAAGTGCGGTGGGTTCTTTAACATGCATGGGGTGTGGCTGTCCCCAAGCATGGGATTTAACCTTTATTTCTCGTCCTATCCAAGGGACACCCCTAACTGAAGCTAGGAACTCATTTTTAGTGAGTGAAGTGAGGAAAGTCTAGTAAAGTGCCTTTCCAAGGGCACAAGATCAGGGAGATGGGTAGGAAACAAACACAGGACCTCTTGATCATGAGCCGAACACGTTACCGATTAATCCACACTACCCCACGTTTGATTGAAATTGTTTTACAAACATGTCCCTACATGAACCTGACCAGGTTGTGTCTGTTGCAGGTTGGTGGGGCTGCAGCAGGCTAAGGACCAGGAGAAGGACACGTATGAACAGCAGCTGGCCACACTCAGGACTGAGTTTCAGGAGACCAAAGACCAGCTTACGTCAGAAAACATGATCCTCGGTGGGGAATAATTTGTATTGATTTTATCATTGGTGTGTGCAGCATGTAGGACGTAATATTCATAATTAATGTGAAAATGCCATTATAAATCTTTATCAGTTGTTGATGGGATTATGTTGTACTTGTGATGTGTAATTTAGCTAAGGGGGCACACCCCAGTTTATTTGGTGTTTCTATTCGAAGCTGCACACCCTCAAATCTAGTGACCGTCTCTGCCGTGGAATAATTTGGAAGGAGACTAACTGTACATGGGACTAAAGGGTACAAGACCATGCAGCTGAGTTTGATTTTGTTACCGAAAATGTCACCTCAAACTTGGCCCCTAAAAACCCTTTCGTCACTTTTTTACCACGGACTACCACGGACCCCTGTTGCAGAAGAACCGGGGTGTGCACCGTTAAAGCAAGGATCACAGTCATAAATTTTGCGAATTCCATGCTGAAATGTTAAAATGGAAAAGGACTTAACACATTAAAAAATGTATATTAATAATTATCATTTCTACACAGAAAACAATGATTGAATCAAAATAGGTGATGCTGATTATAACTTGTTTGTCTGTTAATGTCACAAGACAAGACAAGAAATTTAAAATCTCTATTTCATGGGGACATGAGATTTTAGACATCTTGTTGTGCATGTTTCTTAGTTTGTATGTGTGAGCGCCGTTGTTGACCTTCTGCAGGGCTCGAAATTTATTTTAGGGAATAGATGCACTTGTGCACCCAAAATAAAGATTTAGGTGCATGAAAAAAATTTTGGGTGCACCATATAAAACAAAACCTAATTATGCATGGTTCTTACTGCTCCTCTTCTAAGCTTGAATCTGAAATCGGAGCTAACTTCAAAATCTTACACAAGTACTACAACAAAGATTTTACAATTTTTCTGACCCTTAGATGCCATGAACATCCTATATACTATGATTGTACATTTAATATGTACATAAATACCTACAAAATTATTTGGGTGCACCAGTGCACCCACAGAAAAATATTGGGTACACAGCTCCAATTTTGGGTGCACTAAGGTGCACATGTACCCAGTATTTCCAGCCCTGGTATGAGACACAAATTTCCCCCTTCCCTCCAGGTGGTAAACTAGCCTCCCTGGAAGAGTTCAAAGTTCAGAAGGAGGACCTGATGGCCAAGTTTGCACAGATGGAGGATAACCTGCAGCATCAGAAGGAGGACCATGAGGAACAGATGTACCAGCTGGAGAGGAAAGCTGTGGTGGACAAGGACAGGTTTGTTTGGCATCTGTATCTGTATCTGTATAGCCAGTATAACTGCCTTTGACAGCGTGCAAAACTGTGAAAGGCTGGTTGCCCAGTTGCCCTGGGCAACCAAATTTTACTTGGGGCAACCTATTTTTGAACCAAGGTAGCCCAGTGTGCTACCTGAATTTTACGAGGTGATTTTGGGGTGAAACCACTGGGCAACCTGCCCACTGGGCAACCTGGTTCAAAGAAGTATTTTGTACACTGCTTTTGGCATAACACACCAGCTTCACAGGCATGCAGCGCCACGGCAGCTCGCTACATAACACCGATCAACTTGTTACACCTTGAACATCTAACTCCAGACATTGTTTAAAGCTATCTAATGACAATGCCCCTACTGTACTTGGTGACGGCGAGTTCCACTCTGTAATAGTTCTAGGAAAGAATGAATTCTTGAACACCTCAATCCTTGGCTGATAACTCTGGTACTTGAAGGCATGGTTATTTCTTGTTCTCTTCTGGGGTCATTACTGGTAAACCCCCTTTAGGAGTAACACACCAGTTTTGTACATGTACACTTAAGTATAAGTTGTATAGGATCAGACTGCAAGGCTTGAACTGCTCACACCGGGAAGGACCTTTAATCTTTTTGATAAGTGTGGTGGGTTCTTTAACATTCATGGGGTGTGGCTCTCCCAAACACAGGACCTTCATTTAGCGTCCTATCCCAGGGTGGTCTCTAACTGAAGCATACCATACAATACAATACAAGTGATCCTCATGATGTCATGGCTAGCGAGTGGTAAGCAAAATGCGGGCAGTGGTTGGCTGAAAAACAGCTTGCATGATGTCAGAGGAGCAAGCACAGCTTATAAAATCCTCACTGCTGTTGGCCACTTCACCTTGTATCTGTGTCAGCTTAAAGTGCTCATGACACCAAAATATGACTTAAGCTGATTGTAATTGACATAACTAGTATTACCTGGCTAACGTACAGACTCATTAACAATAAACATGCAAGTTGTTCTCCTGTTACATTCCAAATTCTAATGCCCTACCTTGGAAAAGTCAGTACAAGCCAGTACTGGCAGGTGATTTGCATCCCTACATTCTATTTTTGCATGTCTGTATTTTTTCCTGAGCTGATGTCATCCAGTGATGTCAGCTCAGGAAAAAAACACGGAAATGCAAAAATAAAACATAGAGATGCAAATAGAGTCATGCCGAAAGTGGGCAATGGACCTATACCATTATTACGTCACAGTTTGTTTACCTGTTCGAAAGAACATTCTCGAACGGTCAGTTAAAGAATAAAGATCATTTCAAAGTTTTCAAAGTAAGGTATGTTTTATTTTTGCTGCGTCTAGTTGTGTTGACACAGCATTACATGCCGCATGTGTGATTTAGTTGTGACATGAGACGAAAGTAGTACTGTATTAAAAGACTTATATTAGGCTAACGCTACACAAACACACACTGCGCTACGCACCCCTGTACAATATAAACGTCGATTGACCGGCATTCATTGCGTTAAACAAACTGTGACGTAATAATGTTATAGGTCCATTGGGCAGCTTGCTAAAGAGTCTCCAAATATCCACTTTTACAATGTAGAAGGCAGTACAAGCTTAATTTCTCAGTCATCCTGATAGTACACTTCCAATTTGTATACATTTTACAGACTTTTTTGGTGTATTTGGTCTTTAATATATCTACCATGTACATCCATGCAGGTTAAAGAAGGAGATGGTTATGAAAGTTAACCAGGTCGCGGCAGAGTTCCGTAAAGTCTCCAACAAACAGATGGCGGAAACCACCAAGCGAACCATTCGGGAGAACGTGTCCATCAACGCGCAGCTCTCCAAGATGTCCGACAAGACTCTGGACTTGATCGCGGAGAACGATGAGTTGAGGGCCAAGGAGAAGGATCAGCGCCAGAGAATCGAGATGTTGGAAGCCACAGAGAAAGAGCTGGCAAAGAAAAACCATTCCAACCAGAAGGTAATTCAACATGCAAATAAGTTTCACACTTAGGCTGTATTTCTTTATAAGATGTATAACAGTCTTGAAGTATGAGGGACAGGGTGTATTGGAGTAACTTTATCAAGTGTACCTCACTTGATAATTAATCCGGCATGATGATGATGACAAAGATGTAACATAACTTGACACAATAGAATGAGGAATTGGTATGGAAGCGAGATGCTGACATTTGTAAGCAAATGCAGATATTTCTTCTCAAATTTTCTTTAAATATTCTTATATGTGGGAGATCATCAGGTTTTTCTTAAGCAGCAGTCATCAATTGAGCATTTCGGGTCAGTCATCAAATTTCATCATGCAGTCTTGAAAGAGTTGTTGTTTCGTAGTATAGAGGCATGTTATTTGGTTAAATATATGATGTATCTTGGAAACTTTTGTTACCTCCATGAAAAATGGAGGTATTGTTTTTGGCGTGTCTGTGTGTGTGTGTGTCTGTGTGTTTGTGTTTCCGCACACTTTTAGTCAGCATATCTTCATAAGGCCTTTATAGATTATGATGATATTTGGTATGTTGGTAAGTCTTAGGAAGACAAAGGTCAAGGTCAAATATGGGCCTCCTGGTGGATGACCTTGGTACTGCAGCAGAACTTCCGGTTTTGTATCTTTTGTCCTCAACATGTTATGGTCTTGAATTTTTGGTGACAGATAGCTTTTCCTGTCAGGAATAAGTGGTGTGAGTTTGGTCCCCCTAGCAGCTTGTTCTGTCATGTTACTAAAGAAAGAAGAGACCAGGATCAGCAAAATTTAATTTCTGCTATCATGTATAAAGTGTTCAGCTCAGAACCAATAGCTCCCGAGTTCAAATCCTCCCATGCCACTGTGCTTGTGCCCTTGGGAAAGGCAGTTACACAAATTTCCTCACTTAATTCAGTTGAAAAGAAATATTGTCTGCATTGGTGGCAGAATAAAAATAAGTTGAAAAAACTTCAGTGTGTTAAATGTTAGAAAAAAATGTGTAGAAAGGAAATATAAGTAACACCTTACTGCTGCTCTTCAGATCATCCGCATGCTGACAGAGAAAGCCAAGCAGACGGAGGCTGTTCTGGCAGAGATGGAAGTCAGGGAACAGGAGGTGCAGGACATTGATGCAGAGATCAGTCTGTTACGCCGGCAGAACGAGGCCATGTCTCAGGAGCTGCAGAAAATCAGCACAGAGCTGGAACAGAAGGTGAGTCATGGCAGGGGTGGAGTCTTATAATTGGTGTAAAGGCCACACCAATTTAGTTAGTTGATTCTCAGATTAACTGCTTCATTTTTGTTCTGATTTTCCAAAACAAAGGATTCAGGTTCTAAAACAACTTCAAAATACTCATATTTTGGTCCAAACAGTTGAAAAAAGCTTGTTGCCTTCCTAGATGTTACAGTTTATCCATCTATGAAAACATTGGTTTGATAAAAGGTTAAAATTCATTGTTCAATCATAAACCAGCCTGGTATGTTGACCTCAGGGCACCAATCATAGCTTTTAGGGCTATCAGAGGATACCGTTTCCCTGTCCTTGGTACTGAATATGTGATCTTTTACCAACAAGTTTCCCTGTCCTTGGTACTGAATATGTGATCTTTTACCAACAAGTTTCCCTATCCTTGGTACTGAATATGTAATCTTTAACCAACAAGTTTCCCTGTCCTTGGTACTGAATATGTGATCTTTTACCAACAAGTCACCCTGTCCTTGGTACTGAATATGAAATCATAAACCAACAAGTTTCCCTATCCTTGGTACTGAATATGTAATCATTAACCAACAAGTTTCCCTGTCCTTGGTACTGAATATGTAATCTTTTACCAACAAGTCACCCTGTCCTTGGTACTGAATATGTAATCTTTTACCAACAAGTTTCCCTGTCCTTGGTACTGAATATGTAATCTTTAACCAACAAGTTTCCCTATCCTTGGTACTGAATATGTAATCATTAACCAACAAGTTTCCCTATCCTTGGTACTGAATATGTAATCTTTAACCAACAAGTTTCCCTGTCCTTGGTACTGAATATGTGATCTTTTACCAACAAGTTTCCCTGTCCTTGGTACTGAATATGAAATCATAAACCAACAAGTTTCCCTATCCTTGGTACTGAATATGTAATCTTTAACCAACAAGTTTCCCTATCCTTGGTACTGAATATGTAATCATTAACCAACAAGTTTCCCTATCCTTGGTACTGAATATGTAATCTTTAACCAACAAGTTTCCCTGTCCTTGGTACTGAATATGTGATCTTTTACCAACAAGTTTCCCTGTCCTTGGTACTGAATATGTAATCATTAACCAACAAGTTTCCCTGTCCTTGGTACTGAATATGTGATCTTTTACCAACAAGTTCCCCTGTCCTTGGTACTGAATATGTAATCTTTAACCAACAAGTTTCCCTGTCCTTGGTACTGAATATGTAATCTTTTACCAACAAGTTACCCTGTCCTTGGTACTGAATATGTAATCTTTTACCAACAAGTTTCCCTGTCCTTGGTACTGAATATGTAATCTTCTACCAACAAGTTTCCCTGTCCTTGGTACTGAATATGTAATCTTTTACCAACAAGTTTCCCTGTCCTTGGTACTGAATATGTAATCTTTTACCAACAAGTTTCCCTGTCCTTGGTACTGAATATGTAATCTTTTACCAACAAGTTTCCCTGTCCTTGGTACTGAATATATAATCACTAACCAACAAGTCACCCTGTCCTTGGTACTGAATATGCAATCTTTTACCAACAAGTTTCCCTATCCTTGGTACTGAATATGTAATCTTTTACCAACAAGTTTCCCTGTCCTTGGTACTGAATATGTAATCTTTTACAAACAAGTTTCCCTATCCTTGGTACTGAATATGTAATCTTTAACCAACAAGTTTCCCTGTCCTTGGTACTGAATATGTAATCTTTTACCAACAAGTTTCCCTATCCTTGGAACTGAATATGCAATCTTTTACCAACAAGTTTCCCTGTCCTTGGTACTGAACATACAAAATATGTGCTGCCATACATTTGTATGGTAGGATGGTTAATTTTTGTCTAAAAAGAATGTTTTAAGCCTCAAAATGCAAAAATAGTAACTGCATCAAGCAACACTTTAACTCAGTCAGGAACACTTACTTTGCATCTCTTATATGTTAGAGACATGATTCACCGTGAATTAAAGTGTTTCTATTTATTTATTTATTTATTGCTCTTAAAAACAGTTGGGTGGTACCTTCAGTCTCTGAAAGACTGATTTCCAAGGTAGCCCAACAGAACATACACAATGGACAACATGGAATACAATAAAATTAAACAAAATAAAACAGATTAATCAAATGATCAATCGTAACAAATGACAATAAATGATATAAACAGAGGGTACACGTAATCAATCATACAAACACAACGGAACAACCAAAACAAATAGTCAAAATCGTTAGGCATAGTCGTATTGTCAAATAATGACAGTCGGTTGTCCGTGAGGTCAGGGTCAGAGGTCGTATGTTCTTAGCGCTACTTTAAAGGCATTTATTGTTGATGCCTGTTTAGCTACCGTGTTAAGCGAGTTATAGGCTGAAGCTGCTCTGTACTTAAATGTTCTCTGTCCAGTTCTGTTTGTGTATTTGGGTTTACGCAGTAGATTTGCTTGTCTTGTGTTGTACTGATGTGTTTGGTGGTTGTAGCTGAAACAGTGTAGCAGGTAATCAGGTGCAAGTCCATGTAGACACTTGTAGACCATTGTGCAGGTGTGGTGGGTCCTCCTTTCCTCTAGTGGTCTCCAACCCAGTGTCTGGTGTAGTTCGCTTACACTCGTGCGCGGTTCCCTTCTCAGGATTATCCTGGCAGCCCTGTTCTGGAGGAGTTGAAGTTGCTGTTTGGAGGTAACATTGCAACTATCCCAAACCACATCACAATATTCAAGAATGGGTAGAACTAGAGTTTTATACAACAGACATGCAATATCAGTGGTTAAGTACGGCCTTAAACGTCTCAGCAGGCCGAGACGTTGGGCCACTTTGTTACAGGTAGTCTGAATGTGGTCATTGTAACTTAGGTTTGAGTCTAGTACTACACCAAGATATTTGTAGTAGTCAACCTTTTCCAGCTCATTGCCCCCAATACTAATAACTAGTTCAGGGGCTGACCTTGTTCTTACAGGTGTTCCCATTAACATCCACTTGGACTTACTGGCGTTAAGGGTAAGCCGGTTAGTCTTGAACCAGATTGCTATCCGGTCAAGTTCTGAGTTGAGACTCTCCTCGATGTATTTAGGATCCTTACTTACACTGAATAAGGCAGTGTCATCAGCATAAAGTGAGATCTTACTATCTGATACAGCTGCTGTCAAGTCATTAATAAACAGATTAAACAGGAGTGGTCCCAGTGTTTCTATGATTAATAGAAAAAGGCCTCACCAATTAAATTTTCGGAGTGTCTAGATTCTTTAAATAAAGTAACAGAAAAGTCATGCAAAAAAAATGGCATGATACCATACATGTATGTAGTACAATATGATTGATATATAACCCAATGCAATGATTACCAGTAAAGACCCTGATGAACATTATGTTTGTTCTTCAGTGTGAGGAGGTGTCCCAGGTCCAGGAGAAACTAGAGGAAGAGAGGAAGGCCAGGGGGAAGTTGGAGAGACTTATCCAGGACGCAGCACACAGCCTACACAGTACACTCAGTGTAAGTCTGATCCTAGCACACAGCCTACACAGTACACTAAGTGTAAGTCTGGTCCTAGCACACAGCCTACACAGTACACTAAGTGTAAGTCTGATCCTAGCACACAGCCTACACAGTACACTAAGTGTAAGTCTGATCCTAGCACACAGCCTACACAGTACACTTAGTGTAAGTGTTATCCCTATTGTGATGGAAATAAAGTGACGGTGAAAACAATGTTGGATGAAAGAATATTGGGACTTTTTTTTTTTTTACTTTTTTTTACATGTTAACCATCTTATCTTGCTTACGTTTCGATGTCTAGTGTCTATCAGACAGCTTCCTCAGAGCTTCTGACTGGTTGTGTAAAATTAAAAGAAAATTCCAATATCATGTTGATGACACTTTTCTTTTAAAACACTGGTTTGATGATGAAGTTTGACATGTTTCCAGGGTCCCAGTCCAGATGACCCTGAGTGGGAGGAACTGTCAGCCCTGAGGGAGAAACGTGACGGGATGTTGGAACAGCTGCTGACCCTGCTGAACAGCGCAGCTTCGCTGGGCCTGGGGCCAGCCACCGGAACCTTCGGTAAAACAACATCAGAGGCCTGGAGGACCAAAAGTACAGGCTTCCTCCCTGCCATGGGCATGGGTCTCACAAAAGGGTGAGCTGAACTCTTAATCATAAATTGTGTGCTTCATTCTTCTCCATGTTCTAATAAGGTATGGTAGTATGGTGTGTAGTTTTAGTCTAAACAATAGGCTGACAGAAATGGTTAATTTTGCTGGTAGACTAACCTTAACTTAATGACATATTTTTCGGTGCCTTTACACATGACAGATTTGTATTACTAAAATTCTGTATCTGTATATTAAGTATACAATGTAGCTGTTATAACTGCCCTTCGGAATAACACACCAGCTTTGCAGGCACACGGTGGCCGCTAGCTATATTATACCAAATGACCTGTTACACCCAATCTTTACACAATTTAAATTGCAGCTGTTTCAAGCTTTCTAGTGATGATGCTCCAACTGCGCTTGGTGGCAAGGACTCCGGTCCTTGCCACCAAGCGCAGTTCCACTCTATGATAATTCTTTGAAAAAACAAGTTTTTAAACACCCCAATTCTTGGTTAATAACTCTGATATTTGAACTTCATGGCAATTTTGGGTCGTTATGAGCAGCAAGACAGATCTAGCTACAACATTGGCTCTCCATATAATGATATCAAACAACACAGATGAACCATGCTATAATGTATATTTCTTCTGTTGTGCAGTTCTGTCACCCTGGGCCCAGTGTCTGGTGCAGTTGACACCGTGGCTCACTACAGACTGGGAGACCTGGGTCTGGTCCCCAGACAGAAGGACACCATCTCATCAGTAGGACAGAAAGTGGGAGGACTGTCTAAAACCACCCGCCTGGCTCCCATCAGGGCATCCAGACCTAAGTCTGTGGGTGTGCAGACGTTCAGTACACCAAAGGTGAGATCCTTCTAGAATAGACCCATTCGAATTTCACAGATCACATAAACTACTTACGTCACAGGGGGGACATTTTGAAAGAACGTTGTTCTAGAACACTGAAGTCAAACATGGCTTGCACTCGCGTTGACCCCCCAGATCGTTTTTTTTACTAAAAGGTAGGTGTTTATTCTTTCAGTAAAATATGCGGAAATGACAGGAAAACAGGCACCAACTTTGTATGGTAGCATTCCGTGCAACAATTTAAGGTTATTTTGTTCTGTGACGTATGCAGTTTATGCGATCCGTGAAAGGAACTTTCGAAATGTCCCCCCTGTGACATAGTTTCTATTCGAAATGTCCCCCCTGTAGCGTAGTTTCTATTCGAAATGTCCCCCGTGACGTAAGCAGTTCATGGGATCAGTGAAAGTCAAATGGGTCTATTAAATTGATAATTCCTTAGGCCCACTGTAGTTTTTGTCTGTAATTATGTTTTGTTTATTGTTAAGTGGCACTGGCAAAATCTCACTGGAGTGCAATGCCACTTTGTCCCTGTACTGTTATTTTAAATAAAAAATATGAGAAACCATGCAGTAATTGTCATGTACCACACTGCAAATCCTCCTAAAACGAGCCTTGCTCATTCGCCCAGAAAATATAAACAAAAAATGTGATTAAAACTATTTCCCTCACTCCATATGGGGTTGAGAAACATACTGATCACAGGACGCTTGCTTGTGATTTAACTTATAGCTAGACATGTCAATATTAAAATCTGAGTTGGAATTGCATGTACTCATTTTTTCAAAGTCAATTTCAATGGCTCTGCATATATTACATAGTACTTACCCACATGTAATTTACTCTACTGCTATTTTTGACTGAACTGGAAAGGTTGCAAAGCAATGTGCATCATGATTAAGGTGGTGAGGACTGCTATCTTGGGTTATCTTGTTTAGAAACATGTTATGCTTAGTGGTGCATACCGGTTCACTGGACTTGGATCCGGACTTGTAAGAATGTTTAGGTTCAAGTCCAAAAAAACCTAACAGTCAAGAACCGAGTTCGGACTTATTACCATAAAAGACCATTTCACATACCCCTTTTCTTTCCAAACAACCTATAACCTTCCGTAGATTGCAAAATCTTTGCTGCAAAATCAAGAAAACATTGCCATCGGGCATCGTCAAGTACCAGCCTCCATGTTATGTGGCCAAAGTTTCACTTACAAGTCCGGAACTGAACCTAAACCTCTGGACTTGAATCCGGACCTGAACCTAAATGTGGGTTTAGGTATGCACCACTATTTATGCTACATTCAACATTGTGTCCACTCCTAGTACCCCTGTCTAACCACGAGTCCTTTCAATCTTGTCTGTAATTTCAGGCCATGTTTTTTGCTGACCAGCTGCTGAAGTCTGGGAAACCTGCTGACAAGGCGACGATGGGCGGTGCACTGACTTCAACAAGTTAGCACAAGGAAGTCCAGTCCAGCTTGTCAACACGCAGAAGTTTGATTCTGATTGTGTAAATACTGTACAGTGATATCTGAGTTACAAGGTGGTCACATGTGCTGTACATGTAGGTTGTTAGGAGACAATTGTGATGCTGTTTCAGTCAGACTGTGACAGAACTAGCCACCTACAAGCTTTATTATTATAGTATACATGTACAGCCTTTTCATGACGAGACAGCTGAATATGTACAACAATGTAGTATTACATTTGTACATGTGCGTTGTATGCATGACTAACCCAATGCCCTCCATTTGTTGTTATAATCATCTGAAAATTGTACTGGTCCTTCAGTAACTGTTGTTGATAAATCTATGCTGTATTTGTACACCAAAAATAGCATGACTGACTGAACTGATGAATATGTAATACATAATTATCATAATGTTATGTGCCAATTATGTATAAAAGGTTACTTGCAGTGAGTTGTATTATGCAGTTTGCACAACTGATTCCAGAAATACAATGTGAAGTTGAAATACACTCTTCTTGGAGATTGCTTTACATGAAACACTTTAAAATTGTTATAACATGTCCACAAGTTGATCTGGGTATTCCTCAGTCTGCCAGGCAGTAGTGTAAATAAGTTGTACATAATCAGGCATGTTCATATTGAATATTCATTTTTTCCAGAATTCTTTGCTTGTACAAAAAATGTTCTAAAAATGACAGATGAGAAAATGTCCTCAACATTTCTTTTTTATGAAGATCTACTGTGATTCCCCTTACAAATCAAAGTGTTTTACATGTACTTGTAGGATAATCGACTTGAAACTTTGTAGAAACAATAAGCTTTGTTAAACATTGTGCCATTTGATCAGTTGTAACATCCTTGGTTATTTCTTAAAGTCTTGAAGATAAAAAGTACATTCATTTGTAAGCAAAGAAAACACTCCTGCCATTTGAAAGAATTTTAACATTTATTGTCACAGTGGTAGTATTAAATGCTCCACAGTTGTTAAACAGAGTGCATGTTTTGTACAGTTGTCTCATCAGCAGATTACAAAAAATTAAAATTACACCTTATTTTATAAGTTATAGCAGTGAGTGGCTGTACAGTAACACTTCTAATAATGTCATTGTGTGCACTGTGCACAGTACTTGGGTTCCCTGACTGGAATGGTGTAGATTTGAATTAAAGGTCTTTTTTCAGTCTCCACTGTTGATAGTGATCATTATGCCCTCCCATTGAATTTGAAATTTTGAGTATATGGATTACACCACAATGACATATTGTAACTTTTTATACAAGTAGATTCAGAGTGCCATTCACTGGATCATTATGATATAGACCCATCACATAGTCTCCCCTCACCTCACTTTGGCAAAGGCAAACTCACTACTAGGTTTACCATTGATAGAAAATAGAACAAACAATTAATGTAGCCCAAATTTGAGGTGTCCACTTTTGGTTGACAGGCTATACATAGCCATTTGAAGGCCTGGGGCAACCTATAACAGGCATTCCTACATTTGTAAGTTGTTAGCATGTACTAGTATGCAATCTACTTGTACATGTATGTAAAGAGCCATGAACATCCGTGAAACTCTCACGACAAGAAGATGATGAAGTTGTTATCTTCACTAAGTCATACTTCAGTACTGAAACATCATCACATCTCAGTGCTCCAAGTTGTGTTTCATCCTCAGGTACTGCAAAGGAATACAAACACACAAAACATCACAAAAATGGAGATCAGGGCTCGTCTTAACACATCTATGTAAAGCAACACTTCTGGGTGAACAAACACAATGGTGTCTGTGCAAAATACATGTACATATATACATGTATGTGGGTTTAAAACATTTAAAAGACTTTCTTGAGGGGAATTTTGTGAGTCCTCTAAACATTCTGGGGTGTCTTTGGCAGGACAGACTTCATACTCCAGCACAACATGGGTTGTTGAGAAGACAATGGAAGACTTGTTACTGAAAAGCACTGTCTGGGGTTTCAAAAATATTTTGAATGAAAAAAAAAGCACTGTATGGGGATTTCGAGAAGAGTACTAGTAATTGTTGCTAAGAAGCACTGCAAGAACAACTGTAACTAAGAAGCACTGTATGGGGTAGTGGGCACTAGCCTGGGTACCATCCCCAGTAGTATATTCGCAAACTCTATAACTGGGTCTGGACTTGAACACATATAAAACGATTGGTCATGACGTCACGTAATGAGCTAGCCTGAGCAGCGGGGCTTCATTTGATTGGCTGAGCCTCAGAGGCAACAGCCAATGGCGCGCCTGTATTTATTCAAGTGATGTTTGTTGTTTTGTAAACACAGATCTTCGCGCGAGTGTACCTTTTCTCGGTGCGTTCTATTTTGAAATTGTTCAATGCATCTTTTTGCTCAATTTTGAGCGACGATATTCCCTCTAAATTGTCCAAAACTGACGTGATTGCGAGGTCAACATCAACCTCCAAGAGCTGAGCGGCTTGTGCGTTAGCCCTGTTGATGATCGATCGCCGAAAGACTGACTACGGCTATATCATGTGCGCTTAAGCGTTCAGTTCGCCGTCGGACATGTTGATGAAAATTAGATAAGAACAAGGATCTATCTTAACGTAGCCGTTCGGACGTTCCAACGGACGCTAACGTGTCCGAACGGCCCTTACCTAATATGTACACACCCCAAAAAGGGCTTAGACGAGTAGGACCAATCAGCGCGCTCGTTCAAAATCTGAACGAATATTTAGACTCCAGACGCTACATATGTGTTCAAGTCCAGACCCAGTTATAGAGTTTGCGAATATACTACTGGGGATGGTACCCAGGCTAAGTGGGCACTACTCAGGGGCATTAAAACAATACTGAAGAGCACTACATGGAAACAGTTGATATATGGATCAGATATGAATGGACTGAAATATGGTGTATTTGCTCTCGAGCAAATGTCGACCACTCTAGTATCTAAGTTTGTTCCAGTCTCAACCGTGAAAGTTAGATGCTTGTTGTTATTATGCTAACTAGAATCAGAAACTTTTCTTACATTTTTCCTACTGGTGATGGCCTGTTGAACCCAGAGTAGTTCCATACTGATGTGACTTCTCATCTTCCCCAGCTCTGTGGGATCTGTCAGGTAAGATACAGGCATCTCAGGAACACCTACAAATATCAACAAACAAAGCAATCATATCATTGTACTATTTTCCACAATTGTATCAACTGTGTGTATCTGAGACAAAAAAAAATTTCTGTGATAGCACTGACTTTTTAATGGGTTATTCCATGATCAGCGTGAGCCAATGGCATCCTGCTGTATATTACTAGTAATGTTATACATTATAAAGCACTCCTAAATTTTATATTCTGTTGATGTTCAACAAACATCCAAATACTAGTAACTATAGTCAAACCTACTCAAGGCGATCACCCAGGGGAACATAGACAAGTGGTTGCCTTGTACTGTCACCTTAAAGACAGTCAACTCAAAACACAGCTGCATGATGCCTATGATAAAATTAATGCAGCTACACATTCCTACTTCCTAGCAAATGGCAATTTGTCTGAATCCCACATCAACACTCAAGTCAAGACTCCTAACTACATTGTACAAGAATTCCTGGAGTAGTCGCATTTTTGGAGGGAGAGGTGGGCTGATTTGCACTTTCTTCTAATTTGCACTATTTTCTGATTGGCTAAGTTTTCTGATCATGTATTCATCAGAGATGAGCTTGCAATCAGAAAACCTCCTCCCATAAACAATGTGACTTCCTCCAGGAGCACTTCCAAAGTAGACTACCTCTGCACTCAGACAGTGCCACCCAGGGTTTCAGGGTAACACGGGGGTGTTCCACACCGTATTGAATTTTATTTATGTCATACCCACCCAAGAAAACAAGCCTTTCAATGCAAGATGTTCCAAAAGTTGGTGCCACTAAACCCTAAAATGCAACAACATCAGTTACAACGTCCGACTTCTGTATTCGAATTTTCAAAAGCGGTGCACGCGGTTAGGGCGAAACGCACTCGAATCATACTATCATAATAATGGAAGCCATGAAAGCCTGGGCCGTACTGTAAAGTCCGGAACCCGTTATCGAACGTTATCGAGGCCGGGTATGATAGAATTACCTGGAAAAGAGTCTTCCAGTTCCCAAATAGACGTCTGGTCTGCTAGTGATGCCTGTCCTGTATCAGGGTCTGTAGGACCAGACTTGGAGCTGGTGTCAGTAGTGGGGAGAAGGTCTACTGACTCACATGCAGCATTTCTGGACCAGGGGTTCTCATTTTCTGTGCTTTCCTGCATCCTCTGGCTAGGGGTACACTGTTCACTTGTCAATCCGTATCTTCCCTCTGTGTCAAAATGGCCTCTCTGACTCCCCTTGTCTTGTACTTCATTCAATCTCACAGCATCTATACCAGCATCTGTGCCTGAACTGTTTATTCCTGTTTGGTTGTCTTGGTTCTCACTTTGTGGTGGTTTGCTTCCATTCTTTAGACCAAGCTGGCCCAGTTCTTGGTTACTGCTGCAAGTTTGAAGTCCATCCAATGTTTCACCATCATCTTTGTCACTAGTTGTCCTCCTCACAATTTCTCCTTCTGTGTTCTCTGTTTCATCAGTTTTAGCTCTCTCACTACAGTCTTCTCCTGTGTTCTGAGGAAAAACTGTTTCTGTGCTGGCATCTTTCTTTAACAACTGTTTGTTCTCCTGATCTGAGGTTTTCCCAACCTGTTTGTCTGTAGTTTGCTTCACTTCCATTCTAGATCTTGATGATTTGTCCTATGAATATAATAAGAAAATAAGTTGTTAGAATTATGTTGAAAGATTTCTTTGGCAAAATGTTCCAACTGGTTACATGTATGACAAATTTTGCAATGTTAGCAAAATTTGTCAAAATATCACAATATGATTTTTTTTATTCAATCATGGTATTACTGTAATGAGCACAAAATATTCAGAATCGTAATAATTCTTATCATTGACAGCTTGTTGTTGATAATTTATTGACACTCAGGTTACTGTTAATCACTGATCATATTCGCAGTAGCGAAATTTCCTGGTCTGATGACATGTTCAAGGAACTAAATAAACGTTTGCAGTGGTGGCAGGTGCGGAAGAATGAAAGAACACAAATTATTTGTGTTCTTTCATTCTTCCGCACCTGCCACCACGTTTATGGTACAGAAGTGACCACAAAACCGTGAATGTACTAGTATTAAGTAACAGGGTTGGACAAGTCCCATTGCCCACTTGCCCAGGGCAAGTAAAAGTACTGTTCGGGCAAGTAAAAATCCCCCTGTACTTGCCCGATTGGGCAAGTAAATTTTTTGGATGCCAAGTATAGCTGCTATGGTGTTTGGTGCAAAATTACTCATCATTTTGCCAAATTGATATCATATTAATGTCCTTTTGTCCGAAAATCCATTGCAAGTCTCATAACACATTATTTTGATAAATAAAGTATGCAGCATTATAAACTCTAAAATAAGATGCTGGTAGTAAAAATGCATAAAAATGTTATGTATATTTTGGGCAAGTGAAAAGTTGGTTCGGGCAAGTGGAAATGACCATGTACTTGCCCAATAGGGCAAGAGAATTTTTGAAAACTTGTCCAACCCTGAAGTACCTTGTATAGAAGTGATCTCTAGTATAACGTGAACAAAATTTGTATGACAAATACATGACTGTCTAACTTTCTATGATTGCTGGGGCCTAGTACTTTTACCTTGGGTATGACAGTAGGCACACATGGCAGTGTGGATGTCCATGTAATGTCAACATGGCAGGCTGGGTCTGCCAGCTCCTGCACCAGGGCTTCATACTGCTGTCTCAGCTGCCTCAGCTTTCTTCTCACTAACATGCCCCGCACACAAGCCTGGAACAACAGCAATATGTACTTAGTAAGACAGCATTCCTGACAGTCAGCTGTACATGTAGACCTGACAGTCAGCTGTACGTGTAGACCTGACAGTCAGCTGTACATGTAGACCTGACATATAGCTGTACATGTAGACCTGACAGTCAGCTGTACGTGTAGACCTGACAGTCAGCTGTACATGTAGACCTGACAGTCAGCTGTACATGTAGACCTGACAGTCAGCTGTACATGTAGACCTGACAGTCAGCTGTACGTGTAGACCTGACAGTCAGCTGTACATGTAGACCTGACAGTCAGCTGTACATGTAGACCTGACAGTAGACCTGCATGACAGCTATACTAGTACATGTACCGATGTAGACATGACAGCTGTACATGTAGACCTGGAAGTTGACTGTACACGTAGACCCCACAACAACCCCTAGACTACGTATATGATGCTAGGAATATGACACTAGAAATTATAATATAATCTATCAATCCAAGGAGCTTCCATCACGGAAGCTCCTTATCTATGATTCTAAATGGATTTGAAACTATATTCACCATTTAGCTGCACAATTACAAGACTACAGTGTAATTTCACGTTACTTAATATATTAGAGAAGTAATGGGGGTCACCAGTACTTGCTAACAACTCAAATCTGTACCTGAAGTTTACAGATCTTCTGGTGTTCATCACAACATTCGTTTTTCGGCGCCATCTTGGAAAGTCACCAATCCCAGATCCCAGACGGTTCTTTTTTTTGCGCCCCCATGCGGAGCTCAAGAAAACTGCAGCTGGAAATAAATCTATCGGCCGGGAACGTAGGGTAACCAAACGTCCTCTGTGACAGTAGATTTAATATGCTGCAACAAATCATGCCCAAGATTTGAATATAAAAGTTTTTTTAGTGATTTTTACAGGCATCTTCAAGGTAAATTTGCCGTCAAGAACTATTTTACGCCGCGGATGAATGTTACAGTAACACGGCTGTTGATATCTTTTGGGATCGTTCCGCGAATGGAGTACAGTCATAATTTTTCATTTTCAGGTGCACAATTTTTAGCCTAAAACGGCTGGAACATTGCATGGAGACAAGGGTTAAATCACACAGTTTCCATATATATACAGAGAGAGGGCCTGCACGTCAATAGAGGTAAGAAGGTCTTCTTGGTCGTCGGAATTTATTCGAAGTAGTCGGTTTGTTTACTTGGCGTGGGGAGGGGGGCGTTACTACAGATATCATACATTATCAGCCTTTTGAACACTAATATGAAATACTTCAAGTCAAAAGACAAAATTTTAACTCAAGAAACAATTCCTGACAAATAATGTACCCAAAACGACTTTTTAGGGCAGTAAAGCTGGATTTTCAAAGTTAATTTTCTGGTCAATGCATTGTAAAATATGACCCTATCCCTCCTGTTATTACCTTCGCCAAGAAGGTTAACCCCGTTATGTTTTTAGTAGCGTTTGTCTGTGTGTGTGTGTGTGTGTGTGGGTGTGTTTGTGTGTGTGTATGTGTGTGGTTTAGCAAGATAACTCGAGAAGCAGTGGATGGATTGGAATGAAACTTGGTAGGTGGGTAGGACTTCATGAGACCTAGAAATGATTAGATTTTGGGCCCCCTGTTTGTGAGGCAAATAATTTGCGATGTTGCTGACAAAAAACTATTGCATGCCTCGTGTCGTAGGCTGGTTCCAGCTATTGTAAAAGAAAAAGATGCCTCACGTACATAGCTTGGTTTTGCAATGACTTACATGTAGGATGTTAAGATCATTGAAGTGATTTGTCGAGATTGAACGGGTTATTTTTAATTGTAAACAGAGTCTTTGTGTCTCCTGCCGAAGGTTGATGTCTCAAATCTTAGGGCTGTGTACCTAAGTGTAACACTAGTACAGGTACATGTAGTACAGGTACCACTACTAGTGTTAGAGGAAATGGAAGCAGACACAAGGACTCACGTCTGAACGGATTGAAAACACAAAACACAACTGACTTTGTTCAAAGTTTTGGAATGGGATCAGCTGTTCAAATAATTAGCCAGTATTTATTACATTACAGTATTTATTACATTACAATTTTGTACCCTCTAGCTATAGACGTCACCTTTGGTCACTTTGTGTGCATGAGGCCATTTGGTAGGGTGCATCGTTACAGTACTAAGTGCCGGTATTTTATAAGTGATTCGAGCCCAACTCAGATCTCATACTGTCCTCTCCAGAATGACGACCAGTACAGCTCACATCTACAAGTACCTGAGTCTGCCTGACAGTCTACTGCAGCAGCTGGACCAGCAGCGCAGGGATGACCTGCTGTGTGACATCACACTCAAGACAGCAGGACAGGAGTGGAGAGCTCACAAGTGTGTGCTGTCTGCACACTCAGGGTACTTCAAGTCTGTGTTCGCTGCTTATGATGCCACAGAGGTTTGTTTCATACTTTATGCTACTTGCTTTAGTGTTGTATATACATTGTACTGTAGCAGAGGTCCTACACAATCGTATATGGAGTTACGATGCAACTTAGGGTTGGACAAGTCCCATTGCCCACGGCAAGTAAAAGCACTGTTCGAGCAAGCAAAATCACTCATCATTTTCCCATAATGTATTCCCATGATATCTTATTGATGTCAGTCAAAGTATGACTTTTTGTCAAAGAATCATTTGCAAGTCTCAAACCTCCTTAGTTAATGGGAAATACTGGTCAACTTTTTACTGAAAAAATTTCCTTGCGGTAAAAATGCATAGAAACATGTCATTTACATTTTGCATAGGGCAAGTGATCGAAAAGTTGGTTTGGCCAAGTAGAAATGACCGTCACCATGTGCTTGCCGGATAGGGCAAGTGGATTTTTGAAAACTTGTCCAACCCTGGCCTGAATGCTAAACTTTATTCCAACAATCCAACAGAAAGGTACATTAAGAACATATTTTCAATGACCACTGTCACCTTCATCCTATTCCTAGTCTTAGGAAAATTAGTGTTGCAGGGCTCGAAATTCATTTATGGGAATAGGTGCACTGGTGCACCCAACCTACATGTAAATAGTTGGGTCCACAAAAATATTCTGGGTGCACCATATAAAATGAAATAAGTAAAATGTCAGCAAAAACTAATGTGTTTCATTTCTGAAGGAATGTACTACTTATTATTTTTCTGGCACTTGGAAGTTAAGAATACGCTGTGTTCTAATACATTGAACATCTTTACATACAAAAACCAAAGAAAATATGTAGGTGCACTGGTGCACAGCACCCAAAGAAAAAGATTAGGTGCACTGTGAGCTCCAAATAGGGTCCACATGCACCCAGTATTTCAAGCCCTGTGTTGTGTTCCTGGTCTCTGTCTTTAAGAAATTACTATATAGGGCTGGTTGGCAGGGATTGTTTCCTGATCTAATTTTGTTGTTTTTAAATTAAAGATTTCAACTGAAGTGAATTAACAAACATAGTTAGATAATATTACAAATCCTTTTTTTCTCTTACCTGAGCAGGTCCAACTGGACCCTGTGACAGAGAAAGGCTTCAGTGCTCTTCTGGACTACATGTACACAGCCAAGCTGGTGCTGACCAAGGAGACAGCCCAGGACATCTTGGTAGCAGCAGGGTTTCTGGAGATTGTCAATGTGCTGTCTGACTGTTCCACCTACCTGAGTGGACCAGAGGAACAGCCTGTGGACAACCAACCAAACACTGCTGGTCAGAAAGAAACCACAGAACCAGGAGGTAGGCACTGCTGGATTAGAATCATGTTTAAGATCTGCAGTATTCTGTTTCCATGTGTTTTCTTTAGTTTAAGGCCTAGGATTCTAGTAGGAAAAAACAGTCTTGTTTCCTGTTTCCCAACCGACCCTAGAATAAACTGCTGACCCTAGCTTTTTTTTTTAGAGAGATGATCGCCCTTCTCTAGCTTCATGATCTGACACCTGAGTGATGAAATGTTGTACAATTGGTTTTCCAATATTGATATGAGAAATGAAAGTGTCACCATGCAAATCTTACTTTGTTAATGTTATTACTGTAATTTGTATAAGTTTGATCACTTAAGAGATTGCTAAAGTCTGAAAGAAAAGATAATCCCTACCTACTGACCCTATTTTTTTTCAGGACTGAAACAGGGATCACAACATTTTTTTCCTATGCCCAAGTACAAACCATTACTGTCCCAGTGTTCAGATGTGTTGTAGGTCTGCAGTATTCTGTTTCCACACAGCTTTAAGTGCAAACCATTCTTGTCCCAGTGTTCAGAAGTGTTTTATATCTGCATTATTCTGTTTTCATGTGTTAGCTTTAAGTCCAAACCGTTCTTGTCCCAGTTTTCAGATGTGTTTTAGATGTGCAGTACTCATGTATTCTGTTTCCAAATTGTGTTAGCTGTATGTACACTGTACATACCATTCCTATCCCATTGTTCAGATGTACTAACTTTGTTGTCTGTAGGATCTGCCCCTCCCACCCAGCCACAGCCAGTCAAGCTGGATAGAGTGTTCTGTTTCATGTGTTAGCTTTATTACAGTGTTGAGATGTTGTAACTTTGTTGTCTGTAGGATCCGCCCCTCCCACCCAACCACAGCCAGTCAAGCTGGATAGAGTGTTCTGTTTCCATGTGTTAGCTTTATTACAGTGTTGAGATGTTGTAACTTTGTTGTCTGTAGGATCCGCCCCTCCCACCCAGCCACAGCCAGTCAAGCTGGATAGAGTGTTCTGTTTCATGTGTTAGCTTTAATTACAGTGTTGAGATGTTGTAACTTTGTTGTCTGTAGGATCTGCCCCTCCCACCCAACCACAGCCAGTCAAGCGGGGTAGAGGCAGGCCGAAGGGCTCAAAGGGACGTCCTAAACAGACGGCCATGTTGTCTGATGATGATGATGATGATGTGGACCTGAGCAAGCTTGTTCTGCAGGGGGACGGACCGTACACCTGCGACATCTGCCAGGCTCAGTTCACCCGCAGGTCCAAGATCCTGGCCCACAGAAGGAGACATGCGGTGGAGAAGCTGTTCACGTGTGACATCTGTGATGAGACCTTCTCCAAGAAAGGCCCTTACCTGAGCCACAGGAGGACACACGGCACTAACCTCACCTGTAGAAAATGTAGCGCTGACTTCAGCGATGAGAAGAGCCTAGAAGAACATATGAAAGAACACACGGAGGAGGACAAGTTTCTGTGTGTGGAGTGTGATAGACCCTTCCTGTCACGCAGCTCTCTCATTCAACACAAGCGGAGACACACTGGTGAGAAACCCTTCACCTGTAAGGACTGTTCCAAGAGTTTTGCCCAGAAGACGACGCTGATTCGCCACTGTCGCAGCCACACAGGCGAGAAGCCGTTTGCCTGCGACCTCTGTCAAAAGAGGTTTTCAGAAAAGGGTAACATGTTAACTCATCGCAGGATACACACCGGGGAGAAACCATTCAAGTGTGAGGTGTGCGAGACCCGGTTTGGAAAGTTGTCTACGCTGATCCAACACCGCAGACAGCACACGCACAAGGGGGAGAAACCTTTCACCTGTGAGATCTGCAACGCTGCGTACACCCAGAAGAGCCACCTGGTGTCACATCAGAAGTTAAAACACATGGGGCAGGCTCGCTTCTCCTGCTCATTCTGCTCAGCACAGTTTGACAACAAGTTTCACTTCACGCGGCACCAGAGAACCCACACAGGCGAGCGCCCGTTTCAGTGTGACACGTGTCATTCTAGATTTGCCCTGAAAGCTAACCTGCAGAGGCACAAAACATTACACAGTAAAGAGAAGCAGGGGAGGGGGCGTTCTGCAAAGCAACAAGACGCAGGTGCAGCAGGTGCTGATCAGCCTGTTCAGGTGCAGCTGCAGCTGCCACAGGGTGTTTCAGCTGCAAGCCACATCCAGGCACTGGTGTCCCAGAGTGGGGAGACCATTCCCATCAGAGTTACGGACATTTCTCCGGAGATATCTCCAGTCTCACACGCGTCACAGATACAAGACATCCAGCCCAGCTCTACCACTCAAACAGTACAGATTGTAGATCTGCAAGCCAACCCTCAAAATGCAACCCAAGCACTACTGCAACTGTGTAGCATTGATCATGACTACCCTCAGTAGAAGCTTGTTTCATGTACATGTACATGTGTGTGTGTAACAGACATACAAAATATACTGACATCAGGGGTGCAAGAGTATACAGTGCAGTTTTACCGAATACTAGTGCAATTTTACGGAATACAGTGCAAATTTATGGAATACAGTGCAATATTACGGAATACAGTGCACTGTATACTAATACGATTGCACTGTATTCCATAAAATTGCACTGTATTCCGTAAAATTGCACTGTATTCCGTAAAATTGCACTGTATTCCGTAAAATTGCACTGTTATCCATAAAATTGCACTATATATTAATTGGCACCTCTGGACATGATGTTTGATACATTTCTTAACATATATGATGTACATTGTTGTCACTCTCCAAATTCTAAATGTTTTAGAATGTTTGTGTGTGTTTTAATAATCTCCGGGTAGAGATTCCCATCTGTTATGTGATTGTAATCAGTGATTCTACCAGAGTATAAGAGAATGAGGTTATTGCTTTATACATGTATGTAATTTAGCATCCACCAATAAACCTGGAAAGTTAAACACAGTTACTGATATTTAATAAACAATCTGTGCTTGCCATAAAAGCTAAATATGTCTTAATGCTGTACTGTACCAGCAGAGAAAACTCTGATTAAAGTTTCTGTTTCCTATCAGGATCTTTTCCAGTATAATTGCCTAAGGTCACAGCAAGTAAATTTTATGTATGACATCCTCCACAGACTCCAAATCTAATGCGAGCGAGCGGGAAAAAAAAAGCGGGCGGAAAAAACAAGGTTTCTACATTTTAAACTTTGACTTAATCATTGTACAAATGCTTTTTGTTCAGTGGGAACATCACATATACACATTCCCATCATTCACCATTAAGAAATCATAGAATTTTCGCAATAATTATGCAAATTAGGTCATCATTTGCATAATTAGAATCTGTTGATGTTCCTTCTGCCATAGGTTACATACATTACATAACACTGGTCGCATCAATTTTGGAAAGTCACAAGGCATTTGGAAACTCAAGTAAAAATTGATTTTCAACATTCAAGTTTCACATCAGTGTGTAGCTCTTGGTGTAATGAGCACAGTGATATGAAAATTATTGTTCTGCAGTGTTCATAACTTAAGATATCATTAATAATAAATACAAGCAGACCGGTGGTCTTTCCTAACAGCCCGTCAGGCCTAACAACTAGCCCGCAAGTTTTAATTACAGGACCTTCGGTCTAAAGGCACTAGACTACAGGTGTAGAATCCCAGCCCGCGGGCTGATTTACTCAAAAACCATTCAGACCGTCAGCCTAACTTCAGCCCGCGGTCTGGAATTTCTGGTCAAAGAGGTGCAAAAAGCCCAAAACAATGGCATGGAAGGCGTGAATTGATTGATGTTTGCAGACTGTCTGTGCCAATTTCAGCCTGGTGGGGTAAGGATTCAGACCTCACGGACTACATCTCAGCCCGCGGTCTGATCCAAGTGATGTGTAAAACTTCATTCTCAGAGCAGAAAATAAGGAAGGAGAGCATAATCCACACCCATCTGTTAACAGTGTTGTACATTTTTGCCGCTTTCAACCTCATTCACTCACTCAATCACTCAGCTTCGCATGCTCTTTCAACTACATGTAGACCACAAAAAAGAAAGAAGAGCTTACAAACACGTTATGTACCAGCTAGGGGTAGAAAATGAAACAATTTTTTCTCATGAGCATCCTGAATGTCATTGAAGTTCAGTTCAGTTCAGTTGAAACATTGGGAAAATTGTTACAGACAGTTTTGCCGGACAAAATTCTAGTACTATATAATATGAGCAAGAAGCCTAATACATGCATATAATGCAACTTGAACCTGCTTTCAAGCAATGGAGTTATAAAATCCTCAGTCCATTTCTGTTCAACCATGGTTCAACAGTTCTCAGGTAATTATTCTGATCAAGGAACAATTGTTATGCGGGATGAAACTAAGTATTAGT